ATCAAGGTAAGGGGCTATTTTTAGGCTTTTGCCCATGTAGACCAGGGCAGTGGTCCTCCTGGGATTTAAAAAAAATAATATATAAAATTAATTTATGAATTATTATTATTAAAATTTTAAATTTTGTATTTTTAATTATTAAAATACATAAAATAAAAAAATTCAATAATAATAGACTATCTTAGGAGGTCAAATATAATTTATATTATCTATTATCTATTTTAACAATTTAATTAATTATTATTATTTAAAACTCATTCATCTCAAAGCCCATAACTAAATTCTATAGGAAAAGAAAAAAAAAAGGAAAAAGAAAAGAAAAACAGTTTCTCATATTTTCTATGCCATTTCTCTAGTATTCAACCCCACTATCTTAGTGCCAATTTTCTTCAACCAATTAATCTCAACTCAACAACTTCAAAAAAAAAAAAAAAAAAAAAGAGATTTCGCTAACAACCTAACACAAGCAACTGCCACACTGCTCTCGTCATTGAAAATTTAAAGACAAAGGGACCACCAAGGAGATTACTAACTTTTTGGTAAAAACTAAAAACAACACTATCATTTTTTATATGAATCATATATTGCCATATTGAATTTCAACTTTCAAGTTTTGTAAGTTTTTTTTATTTTATTTTAAAATTGTCTTATATTTATTAGTAGATATGTTTTAATAAAAAAAATTAGTATACTCTCTTTGTCTTAGAATACTTGATTTTTTTATTTAGAATTTATCCCAAAATAATAGTTATTTTTTTATTTTAAGAAAGATAAATAGTTTTTTTTTTTATACTTTAACCCTATAATTATTTTTTAACTTTAATTATTTATCTTTTGATTCAAGTAGATATTTATTCTTAATTATTTTTTAAGTATAAAATAGGTAAAAATAGAAATTGTTTTCAAATCCTTCATTTGAAGATAAAACAAAAAATATATTATTCTAGTATGTAAGGAGTAATATTTAAATAATGAAACTTATTGATTTTTTATTATCACAAAAAATTGTATAATTTCTTTTTAGGATTTAATGTTGTTGAAATTACAAATAAAATTGAATATTATGATAATATTGAAGTTATATGTAATAGAATTGAATAGAAGTAAAAAAATTGAAAAAAAAGAAGAAGAAGAAAGTATAGATCCATAAAAGGAACATATATGAATTTAATAAAAGAAAAAACCTTGGATATAGTCGTATATAGAAAAGCAATAGGGAGATATATTAGTATAAAAGGAAGATAAACTAGTATAAAAGGAAGATAAAAGGGAAAAAAATTATTTAGTTGTAGAAAGTGGTAGGGTGAAGATATAGGTTGTTGTTGTATTTCATATTTGTCAAACTCACTTGTGGAAATGGAGAATTTGTTCACCCTGCCAGCAACAACAGAAAGAGTATTTTTTTCCATGAAAATTGTGAAAATGAGTTTACAACAAAATGGAGGATAAATTTCTTTCAAACTCTTTAATTGTTTATATTGAAAAAGAAATAGTTCAGTCATTTAGTGTAAATGCTATTATAATAGATCTTGTGACATAAAAACTCATCAAGTGTTATTTTAATTTATGGCATAGAAGTAAGTTTTCAAAATTATAATGCATGCTTTTAAGACTTGAAAAACTAGTCTCCTTGACTAAAATTCTTGGCTCCGCCACTAGGCAGCAACAATATTGATACCAAATCCAAAATCACCACATTGCTTTCATTGTTCAATTTTTTTAGAGTGAACTTCATTGTTCATTGATCCACAATGCACAGGGAGGTTTTTTAGTGAACGTTTGAATTGACTGAGTTGGTTGTTGATTCTTCCAAGTTGAGAGGAAAATGACTTTTATAAGAAGATTTGGTATGATGTTTTTTTTTTTTTTGGTAAAAGAGAGAATTGCATTAAAAACAACACATAATACACTATGGCTTGGGAAACCAAGTTCCCATCATGTCAGCTTCATAATACAAAAGAAGTCCCGAAGGACAATAGTCAAAAGAAACAAAATCCACAAGTAGTGAATGAGCCACTACAGTTAGAGCATCAACACACTGATTAGATTTTCTGTACACATGTTGGATACGAGTTTGGGGGATTCTAGACAAAATCTCCTTGCAATCCAAAATAAGGGAGAAAAAAGGATGATGTGATGAAAAACAATAAGGTAATAACTGTGTTGCAACTAAAGAGTAAATTTCAACAATTAAGTTTTGGATGTCCCTTTGATAAGCCAAAAGAAGTCCTTCTCTAATCCCTAGAGTTCAACACGCAAGCTTGAAGCATAACCAATCTTGTAGGCGAACCCAACAATCCATCTACCAAGATGATCTCTAATGATTGCACTAGCAGAGGCAAGGCCTGGGTTTCCATGAGCAGACCCGTGGGTGTTGAGTTTAAAGTACCCCTCTGGAGGTTTCTCCCAACAAACCAGCCTAGATTCCTTTTATATATTCTTTTTTTTGGTTTCCCGCCCGGTATCCGGGGCTTCGCCTCGACTAATCCGGACCCGACCCGCGTCGCGCACCTGGAAATTGTGGGTGAGTCTCCCAACAAAGGCTGCTGCGTACACAAGGGTTCAAACTCGAGACCTTGCTTAAGCTGGAACAAGCCGCTTACCACTTGACCCAACCCCTCGTTGGTCCTTTTGTATATTCTTAGGAGAAGGCAAGGGTGAAGTTGAGTAGAATTCAAAAACCTTATCCCAAATGATAGAGATAATACAATTCGGTTCAAAGACATTAGAAGAATAAAGTTTTTTGTTCCTTTGCAGCCAAATATTCCCAAGAATAAAGCTAAAGACCATTCCCCAGGGGATTGGGATAGTAGGACACGTATCCTTACTCAAACAATTATCTCTGATCCACTGGAATAAGGAATTATTAGAACCAATCGTTCATTGAGGAAAGAAAGTATGCCAAATATAAGAAAAAGAAAGAATTCTCTACAGAGATGGCCATAAGTTTCCTTTGCCTCAAGACACATGGGACACACATCAAAATCCACAATGCCCAATCCAGAGAGAAGACCAAGAGTTTTGAGGCATTCATGACATAAACGCCAAATGAAAGATTGAATTTTTGGTAGGGTATGAACCTTCTAGATCCATTTCCATTCTGTATCGGTTAATATTCACACCTTTAGCCATAAGATAAGCAACTTTCATGGAAAAGGACCCATCACGAGACCCTTTCCATGAGTAAGAATCATTACCAAGCCCTATTTTTGAAATAGGGTTGGCTTTAATAGTCTTTAGAATAGTGTCGAAGAGGGGGTCAGATATAAGAGAAGAGTTAAAGGCAGCAAAGGAGAACACATTCACCACCCATAGGTCCTCATCATTGCTTGACAAAGGTCTAAATAAAATAGAGTTGAGAGGAGGATCAAAGAGCCAACAATCTTTCCAAAACGAAATACTGTTACCATCCACCGAAATCCATTTGATACCTTGTAGAAAGGGCTCATTACCTTTCTTGAGGTTCCTGATGATAGAGGAGCTGCAAATAGGCAGGATAGATGGTTGAGAGTTAATGTTATATTTTCTTGTAAGAATAGAATTCCAAAGCTTATCCTTCTCAGAGAAAAGTCTTTAATTGAGCATAGCCATGGCAGCCAGATTAGTTTCCTTAGCACTTTTAATTCCTAAGCCACCTAAGGATTTTGGGACAAAGACCTCACTCCAACGAATCAAATGCAGCTTTCGATGATACGGATCAGATCCCCAAAGAAAATCCCTCCATATCTGATCCAAATCTAAGAGGGTAAAAGAAGGAAGCATGGTAGACTACATATAGAAAAGAGGAATGGACATCATAATTGAGATAATGAGAGTAATTCTACCAGCTAAGGAGAAAAATCTAGCCTTCCATCCTTCAAGCTTAGCACAAACTTTATTTAAAATGAAAACATAGTCTTGCTTACAAGGCCTTTTGGATGATATCGAGATGCCTAGATACTTTCCAAGGAATTCTTTTTGCATAAATCCCATAATACTACAAATCTTTTCCTTCAGAGGTATAGGGACATTTTTTGAGAAGAAAATATAGGACTTGAGAGGTTTGATCTTAAGACTAGATCTACTTGAAAAGAAATCCAAAATAGACTTTAGGAATAGATAGTTATCCTTGGTAGCTTTACCAATAAACAAAAGATTGTTTGCAAAGAAGAAGTGGGAAAAGAGGGGCCCTCCTTTTCCAGCTTTACTTCTTTCCCAGTAGCCAAGGAAGGAAGCCTTAGTAATGATTAGCGTGAGGAATTCCATACACAAGATGAAAATATATGGCGAAAGCAAATCCCCTTTATAGATTCCTCTTAAAGGAGAAAAAAGTTCAGTTTTATCAGCATTTAACAAATCAGAAATGAAGATGTTCAAATGGCAAACATGATTAACTCAATAATTTTGGGAGGAAATTGAAAAACTAATAGTCTTCCGGATAAAACTCCACTCAAGACAATCATAGGCGTTCTCTAAGTCAATCTTGAAGATGAGATCGCCCACTTTGCCCATTTTCTTAGAGAAAGATTAAACAAGCTCTTGAAGAATAATGACATTATCAGAGCCACAACATCTAGGAATGAAGCTAGCTTGGCAAGGAGATACCAAGTAATCAAGAACAAGTTTAAGCCTATTCACCAAGATCTTCGAGATTACTTTATAGAAGGTATTACACAACCCGATAGGTCGGAATTGAGTAATAGATTTAGGGGCTTTTCCTTTAGGGATAAGAGAGATAAGACAATTATTCCATCCCATCGGGATAGCACCAAAGGGGAAGGCCCCAGTAACCTCTGAACATAATTAAGCTTTAATATCCTGCCAGAATCTTTGATAGAAAAAAAGATGAACCCATCAGGCCTTGAGGCCTTAAAAGGTTTAAAAGAGGTAACAGCCATCCAAATCTCATCCTCAATTGGTAGATTAGCAAGGTGATGCAAATCAACTAGATGATGATCAAGAGTGAGACTAGCCAACTAGTAAGAGTTGGAGAAGGAATGCATGAGTGAAGAGGAAAATAGATCAAGAAAATAGCTTCTACAAATGTTGCTAATCTCACGTGGCTCATATGTCCAAACACCCACAGCGTCTTTCAGACCTAAGATCTTGTTATGAGATCTATGTTTCAAAGTAGTGACATGGAAAAATCTAGAGTTTCTATCCCCATCAAGGATCCAATTAATTCTAGACTTCATGAACCAAAGATCTTCTTCTAGTTTAAGAATTTTAGAGTATTCATTTGCAAGATCCTTCTCCAAGGAGGTAAGGAAAGAACTATTATTCATAGATAAAAACCTATGAATGCCCTCCAAATGAGCAAGAATCTGCTTCTTTCTCTTAAAAAGGTTGTCGGAGGTGGCATGACTCCATAATTTGGCTTTCTTCAACATAGCCTCAAGGCATTGACTAGTATTATGATCCTCAACTCCCCAACAATCCTGAACCAAAGTTTGAAATTCTAGATGTTCCATCCGAAATTTTTCAAGCTGAAAAGGATGCTTGCAGAAAGAAGGTTTGAAGGGCTCAAGATCAAGAAGTAATGGATTATGATCAGAATGGACTCGAGGTAAATGAAAGACAAAAGCCTCTGAAAAGTAAAGTTTCCAATCTGCATTACACCAAACCCTATCAAGTCGTTCACGTATGACATGGTCATCTAGTTGCATGTTAACCCAAGTAAACCTCTCTTCAATGAACCCTAAATCTAGCATTTGACAATCATTCATGCTGGAGGTAAAGGCTTGGACTCAATGTTGATTAATGGAGCCCTTCCAAACTTCTCTAACTGATCCACAACATCATTAAAGTCTCCATCAATTACCCAAAGGCCTTTAAAGTAGAGAGATAAGGTCCTAAGTTCTTACCAGAGCTTGGACCAAAGTTCAAATTGCGGCCTACCATAAACCCCAGAGAAAAACAAATTAATAGAAGCTAAAGAAGAGTGATTACATATCTTAACAATGGCATGGATTGCTTGATCGCTATTTATAATGATATCAATTGAGATTTGAGAAGCATCCCAAAGTAGCCAAAGACCACTAGCAAAGCCATCTGCATCCACCACATGGTAATTAGGGTATAGGTGAGAAGCAATAGCCTTAGCTCTATCTCTTGCGACCTTAGTTTTCGTAATTAACATCATGCAAGGATTGTTAGTACCCTTCAAATCCATGACATGGCGCTTAAAACTTTCGCTAGCTACCCTTCGGCAATTCCAGATCAAGATCTTCATAGTCCAAATTAATAAATCAAGAACACCCAAAGTCTCTAGGGCAAGCTCATTAGCCAAAGTTGGGGGCCATTCTCCCATTGGCAACATGACCATCTGTGCATCTGGAAAGTGGAATGGAATTGGGACAACTTGTACTCCATTTCCAAGGTGATCGGTTGAGTAGAGCTAGGAGATGGACTTGCCTCATTTGTCCCTTGAGTTGGATATAGTAGCAATGTTTCCTCATTGCTGGGCAAGTTAGCTATAGGGGACTGATAGGGGTGACCATCCTTCTGATTGGTTCTTTGCTTATGTTGCAACTTACATCCCACACGGAGAAGTGATCCCAGTTCTTTGCAACTATTGTGGGTTGTGGTGGTAGAAACAGTAGAACAGACAAGGGTTTAGGCCCTTGGGAAGAAGAATTGGTCGTCTCCAAGCTTGGGTTATTTGGAAGTTGTTCCAAGAGCACGGGTATGGTGGTGGAGTTGGAAGAATCTTGTTCCATGCCGACTCCAATTGAAGGAAGCTTTCATTGTATGTCAAGAAAGCCTTGAATTCTTAAACTTATTTACAAGTCAAGAAATTCAATTTTAGCACATATATTTCAAAAAGCACTCCCCTCCCCCCCCCCTCCCCACCCTTGCCTCTACTAAAATAAAATTATCACTAAACCACTTAATTCTTTAACTAGAGGTTATTTGGTTTGATTATACTCCCTCTGTCCAAAATAATTGTCACTTTTAATTTTGAGCTTGTTCCAAATTAGTTGTTGTCTTTTTTCATTTTTTAAGATAGACAAATATTTTTTTTCCTATTTTAACTCAATTATTATCTATTCAATTTAATTAATCATTCAATAACAAAAAATTTATTTTTGTTCTTATTTCTTTTTTTAAGATATTATAGATAAATACAAATATTGTCCACAAATCCTTAATTTAAAAAAAATTAAAAAAAAATTATTTTGACACAGAGGGAGTACTCTTATTTTCTATTTGAATTTTTAATTTTTTAATCTAACCATATGAGACTGAAAGTTAGGAATTGTTTGACGGGGTAACCTTCAGATTTAAGGATCTGTTTTCTTTGAGAATTGTTAGCCAGGTAAACTGTTGACTGATGTTATCATCACAATTTTTTGTGCTTACTAGTCCATTTTTGTTCACCAACTCCTACGTTTCTAGAGAAAATTAAACGGATGGAAATTTGCATTCTCTCCATATTAGCCCGCTCAGTAGAAAATGAAAACGAATGGAAATTTCCATTTGCTTAAGAGACTGAAACGGGAAATATTGATTTTTTATTTTTTATTTTTGAGGTCGAGTAGGTGTGGAATTCATTTATCTCCCAACCATACGCATCTACTATAAATAATGGTATCTAGATCTCCCTGTCTGAGAAACATATGCACAAGGGGAAAAAAATGGAGATTATGCGTACCAAACACTTGTTCTGTATTCCCTACCTTCTCATTGTTCTTTGCTGGTTGTTCTCGGCGGAGGCTGCGGTGGCTCAAAATATTACGGCCACCGCAAAAATCCCTGTGAACGTGGGAGTGGTTCTTGACTTGGATACGTGGGTTGGGAAGTTAGGGTTGAGTTGCATTAACATGTCGCTCTCCAACTTCTATTCCAGCCATGGTGACTATAGAACCAAGGTGGATTTAAAAATAAGGGATTCTAAGGAAGATATTGTGGGGGCAGCCACCGCAGGTACGGACTCTTTACTCCTGCTTCTATTTTTTTCCCTTCTCTTTTTTTTTTTTTTTTTCCCCTCTATTCACATAGCTACAAATTTGACTTAATTAGTTAAATAACTCGATTTCACTTAGTTGGTTAAAATTTAATTTTTTGAGAAAATTATTGCTCCTTTCATTCCAAAATAATTGTTATTTTTTTTATTTTAAGATAATTCATATACTTATTTATATTACTTTTTAAAAAAAGTTAAAAGATAAAACTAAATTTTTTGTAATAAAATAATTAATCGAAACAAATAAATACTAATAAGGTTAAACTAAAAATAAAATATTTATCCATCTTAAAAAATAAAAAATAATAATTAATTTAAAATAAATTTAAAATTAAAACACAATAGTTATTTTAGAATATGGAGTAAGTAATACAGAGCAAATCACACAAATTTCCTACTTACAGTATAAATGACTTGTAGTTTTTGATCACATGGCGCAAACTATAGACAATGATTAACAATGATTAAGTAACCACACGAATTGGACAGCAGCTATAGATAATGATTAAGTAAATAACAATATCTTCACTAATTTATCCTCAATTATTTATGCCATAATTACCTAAATCACAATCTATAGGTAATGCTTAAATAATAATGAGTACTGATATAACTTATATCATATTATTAAATTAAGGAAGATGATTGGTGTACATTGTCATTCTTCACCCTTCATTACACACCTATTAAAATATTAATATCTCATGATTTAAAATTAGTTAAGAAAAGACTTAATCTTGTTGCCAAATGCCCTTGTAATCATCTTCTTCTCCTTCTTCCCTCTTGATAGAATCCCTACAATTTTGTTTGTTTTTTTTTTTTTTTTCTAAACAAAATCCCCATAATTTAGTTTTGAACTTATTTTCTTCTCTACTTCGATAAACTAGAACTCCTCCTCTCCTCTTTTCCTCTACTAAGGCTAGAACCAAAACCAGGTTTTCTCTATCCTTTGTTTGTACCAAGCTTTCTTTCCTCTTCCTCCCTTATTACACTAGATCTGGCTGCAAAATCACGTTAGGTTGAGTAAGGAACCTAGATCTATAGGTATTTTCACTCATTTTGTGGGTATTTTTGAAAAAGAGTTGACAGGGGGAAAAGGGAAGAAATTTAAGAACCTCTCTCTTATTTTCTCTTTCTTTGTTTTATTTCCCATTTGTTATCATTTTCTTCCTATGTTTTTCATTTCTTCGCTGGTCACGCGTCGAGCTTGGCTATCTAAGCACGGGATGTTTTGTGTGGCCGTCGTTGGTGTTGGTAGAAGGGAGTGGGTTCCTTCTATGCTATGAAGACTTTGAGGAAAATTTTGCAGTGAAATTTATTTTGTAGAGGAATGTGTAGCATAAGTTTACTAGGAAAATTTTTCTTTGCTGAGGAATGAGAAGGATAGAATCTAATGGGTCTGTCTCAAACTCACTCACCCTTTTGTCATCCACCTAAAAATCCTCAAAACCCAGAACTAAAAATCTCCAAAACTCATGCCTCTTTCTCCCTAGATCTAAATTGAATATGGAGGGGATTTCAACATTAGCGATATAATCTTGAACAAGCGAGGGATAAGCTAATTCATGATAGAAAATGTATTTTAATAGTTAGACGGCAGTGTGTGACTAAGTTTGTAAGTTTACAGGGTAAATGTGTCATTTTCCTTAAATTAATTGATGTTTATAATATCATGTCTCAAAAAAAAAAAAAAATCACTCATTAAATAATATAAGATTTACCTTTTAATATTTTAAATAAGATAACTCATTGATCTCAAATTTAATCCTATTTATCATTATTCAATAACAATATCTTCACTAATTTATCCACAATCTTATCTGTACCAACATTCTCTTCTATAGAGATAACTTCGTTACAAATAGTCCTATACCTTGTACCAAAAAAAAAAAAAAAATAGTCCTATACCATAAGATAGTATTAGAAAACAAAATAGCCATCCAAATTTTAAGCTTTTTCTTACCGGAGAGACCAAACCTTTGATGAGTCAATATTGCTCTTTTTTCGGCCCACCAATATTGCTTCTCATTTAACACAATACTTGAATTCTATGATTTATTCTGTATATGATTTTTCCTGTATTATTCTTTGTTTAATCTGATTCTTTTTAATAGTTTGAACTTGAACTTGAAAATTATGTTATGAAAATAAATTTGGCAGGTGATTTTTTTCTTTAATCTAATTTCTTTCAATTTTTTCTTTCTTTGAAATAATTAAGGGCAATTTTCATTTATTATATATAAAAAAGTAGGACTCATTCTTGACTCCAAAAACACTTGCAGTCACAACTCTAAAATCACAACTTTAATAAATATTTTGAAAAACTAACCATTAATATAAAATATTGTATGTAGATCTTATATGTCACGTTTGAGATTAATTGAATATATCTAATTATATAGTTCATTAAACACACAAAACTTAACACTATTAAATATATTTTAAAAAAGAGTTTTTATCATCAATTGATTATAAATGTTAGATCACCTTTAAAATTTACATGCATGATCTACGTATCGACCTGTTTGGTGTAGTGGTTAAAATTTAACAGATAACAAGTAGCAAGTGGTGAATAGGTGCTGCCCCCCCTAAACTTTCAAAAAAACATTTAATATGGTACCCTAAATTTTATTTGTTAAAACTTTTGTTTTTATAGTATGGATTTTAAGGATCATTTCCAATGTAGAGAGAATATTTATGATCTAAATAAAAAGTTTTCAAAAAAATAAGGATATGATTTAGATAAAATGAATTTTATGACAATTTAATTAATTTGGAATTAGGGTTCTTAAACATTTCCTTATCTATTAAGTCCTAAAAAAGAAAACTTTGATTCTTTATTTAACCAACTTTAAATTTATAGTTTTCTTTAGTATTTTTTTTTATTTTTTTTGTCTTAATATTCTATATAATAATTTAAAGTTTTTTTATGGCATTGAGGTATATTTTTACCTTTTATGATTGAATTTATAATCATTTTTTATTAAATCTATAAGAATTAGAGTTCATTTTTTAAAAGAAATATTTTAGTATTTTTTAATATTCTAGTATTTTTTTATAATATTAGTGTTTATCAACATGATCTCTAAAAAGTTAGGAGGAAAATACCCCAAAATTACATTATTTCAATAAAATCAAAATACTCTTGTTTTTGCTTTAAGAATATATTGTTTTTGTTTTTTTTTTAAAGCAAGTTTATTAAAATAATATAATTTTATGATGTTTTTCCTCCTAATTTTTAGAGATTTTATTAATAAACACATTTCTCTTTTTTAATTCAATCTTCAATCAATCATTATATAATTTATTAATACAATATTTTATTTTTTATTATAATAAATACATTCCTTTCTAATTATTGTTAAGAATA